AACGACAAAGGGTAAAAACCTTCTTCTTCTTCTTCTTCTTCTTCTTCTTCTTCTACAAAATGACCTAAGTTAGCTCTAATATGCTTAGTTACCTAGGTTAGCTCAATATTGACCTATACTAAGCTGCTTTATATCACAAATGACCTATACTAAGCTGCTTTATATAAAAAATGGCACCATTAGCTAGGTTAGCTCCATTTTACCTAAGTATGCTTAGTTCTTCCTCTTGTTCTAGTCTTCTTCTTCTAACTTTCTTTTTTCCCATTTTGCAGATTTCATTCACTTGACGGAAGCTTCCATGGATGGAGTGTTTGGTTCCCCTTTCTGCTTTTCTTTTGTATCGATGAATATTGTGGAACTTGTTATATGGATGTATGGAACTATATGTTGGATGAACAATGTGGAACTATTGTAATATGTATGGATGGAACTGTGTGTTGGTTACGTATGTATGATGAAACTTGTGTGTTGGATATGTCATATATTTTGCTGTGAAATTAATTGGATGTAAGAAAAAAACACAAAATGAGACAATGCAGCATCTTTGCCGTCTACCACCGACGGCAAAGGCCTCTTTGTTGTCTGCCACGGACGGCAAACAGGCCACATGGCAGCATCCTATACAACCTGGGAGTTCTGCCATATGGTTTCTTTGTCGCCCGTGGCAGACGGTAAAGGGGAGGCAGTCTTTGCCGTCCGCTGGCGGGCGGCAAAGGCTGTTGTTAGCCACCTAACGTGGCTAATGACTCTGCATTGCCGTCCAGATTCTTTGCCGTCAGCCACAGACGGCAAACCTTCTTTTCCATCCGCGTCGAGAAAGCAGACGGCAAGGACCTGTTTACCGTCGTCCTCTTTGCCGGACAGATTTACCGTCGGTGGCAGACGGCAAAGACCTTTGTCGTCCGCCTTTGGTGCCTTTGCCATCTGCCATGGCGGATGGTAAATAAGCTGACTCCTATAGTGTACCATCCATATTGCACTTGTATCACCATCTGTTCACCGAACTAGTGCACCTATACAATTTACCATTGTATTGGGTGTGTTGGGGACACAAGAGACTCTTTGTATTTGGTTGCAGAGTTGTTTGAGAGAGACCATCTTCATCCTACGCCTCTCATGGATTGATAAACCTTAAGTCATCCACTTGAGGGAAATTTTCTACTGTCCTACAAAACACTGCGCTTGGAGGCCCAACATGAGTCTACAAGAAGAATGTTGTGTAGTAGACATCAAAAACCACAGCACCACCACCAACCAAGTGCTCCATCACTAGATTTTGCTCCATGCCATCGTTGTATACGGTTTTCACCGGGAGGCAAGAACATGAAGCAAGTAGAGGAGTCGGATCCCCTCGATGGCGCCTCCAACAAGGAAAATCACACCCCAAGAGCATCATTCGCCATCCGCCTAGACCGAAGCCGAGCATGACCTTCATCGGGGAACCGAGCACCTATGCCGAGGATGATGTCTCCAACACACGACCACCACCAGACCGGAGCAGCAGACGCCACTTGCTGCACCACACCGAACTAGCCGGAGCACCGCCGGTGGTGCAGTCCCAGAGCAACCCGAAGGCCTGCCTAGACCACGCAACCGCAGACCACAATCCTGGGCTGGAGCCACGTCGCACCGCTAGCAACCAGTCGTCGGCAGAACCGCCTCCAAGCCCCCGGCCGCCAGGGCACCAGATCCGGCCGTCAGCGGCCCG